AGGAAACTTCCAACTGCACAGCAAAATTAGTAGGTTCAAAACAGCCATAGCAAATTTGCACACAAATCTCCTCTTTCAATATGAGAAAGCAGCTACAATTCACAGAAACTCAGAGATCATGGTCTACATTGAAACCAACGTATGCTTTGTCGCTGCTTACACACAGACAGCAACATTCAAGTGCCACATTCCCTGCTTTTGGTGGAACACAGAAGAAATGCAGAAAGTTTCTGAAGCCCTCACATAGAGAAGGCATCTTACTAAAACATCCATCTTATGCATCAGATGTTATCCAACCAGAAACACCAAAGACCCACATTTCTGAATAAAAATTATCTTTGCTACATTTGCTGAGATTTCAGTCTTCAGGGAGTCAGTTTTACCAGCTATCCAGCCTTTTCAGCAAAGACTTATTGAAAAAGCCAGAGCTCCTAGCACTAAGAACTAAGATAAATGTATCAATTTCGAGATTAAGTCATAAAAGCCCCTTCACATCACAAAAGGGAGGAGCAGGAGAAAAATAAAGGTCATGAGTATCCTCCCATATCTTTATACATTACCTACACATTTTCCATTTCAAAATACTGCAGCACACTTACCCTTGAATATGAAAGTTAAATTGATTACAAATAAGACCATCTGTCTTACGCCTTACTCTTCCCAAAAATAAAATACCACAAGTTTGCAGTGTGCTTTGTATTTTTGCTTCTACTTCCCACTGAACTTGTTGTTGAATGTACATGCTGAAAGAAAGTGTTATTATACATATACTGCTTTGTAAGAGACAGGGCAATGGGTGCCCCGTGCTGACAGCAGCACAGCTCCTTTGGAATTGTACAGAGTAGGGTTATATGCAATCCAACTCATAGCCAGCTCCACTATGAACTTGCAAACCCAAGCGGCTACTCAAGATATGTAGGTATGTTGCAAGTTCAGAAAAATCTCACATTTCAAGACAGAGTTGAGTCTACTCTTCCCCTTCTGGCAAGCAGCATGCTTATGGCAGACCTGAGTATTGGAATTATTTCTCACCTTTACACACTTCGGGAAGATGTAGGTCAGATGACAGAAAATACTCTTAAACAGCACAGAATTGGCAATCTCAAGATATTTACAGGCAAAGAAGCATATCGCACCGTTAATTTAAGTTATTGCTTCTTGTGGGCAAGTGCAATATTCCTTGATTGGGGGACAGGACTTGTTTGGTGTTTATTTTCCCCTTCTGAAGCACAAAGACTCCAGATCACTGTGAGGATATTTTGAAAATGAAGGTGTTGCCTATGACTAGAGCTGCATCTACAGCATGGTCATCACCAACTGACCAATGCAGCTGGTGACAGAAAACTTACATAGGTGAGTTTCCACAGGCATTTTCAAACCCAAGCATCACTCTCATGCTCCCAGGGTCATTCTAGGCTTGGTCTACATTACAAGTTTTGATACAAGAAAACCTCCCACAGCCTTTCAGAAGAGGCTTAAGGATACCAAGAGAGCCAAACTAGGATCTAAGGCTTACCTCCTATCAGTTCCTCAAAAAATCCAAGGTATTGCTGCTCTACCATTCTGAGGGAAGCAGCAACAGATCCTTGCCTGCAAAATGACGCATCAGCGCGACTGCTCACGGCATGCTTTTCAAACACTGGTCCTCCATGTAGGACAGCAGTGATAACTGCTGGGTCTTTAAGCCAGCTACTTGCATCTGAACACAGAAAATTAAGGTTTTTGAAAAAATAGTAAATGAACTATAAAGAAGAACTACCAAAACTGAGCTTAAGTTGTAAACAGATTCATGTTTATAACATTTACCTACTTAACCCCCAAGCCAAAGACTACCCATGACCTTGGAGCACAGGACACCAAAACACTTACCTACCCAAATCACATAATTACAGGTGAGTTTCTGTAGGCATGAAGCCAACCGTCAACTTTAAATTAATGCAAATGCATAAGATTTACTTTCAGAGGACACCAGGAATTTAAACCATCGTGGGCCTGCAGGCAACACCGCTATCAGAGTATTAGAGGTGCTGTAATTCCTCCCCCCCTCACTCCCCCCCCATGATAATACAAGGCAACACAAATATTCTCAGCTAAAAAGGAATCTGTACAGGGACTGACTGTACATTCAATGTGACTACAGGATTGGAAGTGTGACAAAATGGTTCTGCTCTCACTGAAAAAGAGAACACAACAGGGCCCCATAGCTACAGGTCCAGCTGAAACCAGTGATGCAAGCCTAAAGATGTAGAAACTGCACCGGTGATTACAGCAACTATCTAGTTTGTACTCTTTTAGATTTGCAGCATAACAAAGGCATTTTACAGAGCAACTTTCAGGAGAAAATGTCATCCAGGCAAGAATTGCTCTGCAAGCAAGATAGGAGAGTTCAGTAGCATACACTGCACTTGTTCTCCAGATAGCAGCAGTTGCTCCTGTTCTTTGCCCTTTTTGATATGAATCACAGTAGCAACAGAGAGAAATATGTACTTAAACAAAAAAAAATAAAGAATTATGTATGTACAAGAAAATTGTTCAAAGAATTGTGCAACTTATTTTAACTGTTAAACCCACTAAAAATGCTGTCACTAATAAATATTCATAAACTCTTCCCTGTGCTGTGAAATTCAGAAACTACTATGATTAATTCTTGATACAAAAAGTATGCTTCTAAGCCCTGATATCTGTTCCAGTTTATTGTCTGTCTTTTTTTTTTTTTTCTGTCTTTTTTTTTTTTGAACTGTGGTACTTTATGGGAACTAATACTTATCCACAGTTTTACTTGGTGTACCCTGCCAGGAACATCCTGTGTTTTGTGGAGCCCTGGTTATACCAATATAATACAGTAAAATAATAATAAATTAAACAAATGCAGGTGTATTTAAAAAAAAAAAAGCAAACAAAAAAATCACCAAAAAACCAACCAACAAACCACACTATCAAATGCTTGTCTCCACATGAAGAGACCAAGGATTTAGATGCAAAGTACTACAAATCCTGCCATCAAAAAAACCATTCAAACCAGGAAACAAAAACTTCTGCATTTTAAAAATTAAACACAAATCCCACCTCGATATTATCTCACCCATGTAATTCCTCCCCCCCTCACTCCCCCCCCATGATAATACAAGGCAACACAAATATTCTCAGCTAAAAAGGAATCTGTACAGGGACTGACTGTACATTCAATGTGACTACAGGATTGGAAGTGTGACAAAATGGTTCTGCTCTCACTGAAAAAGAGAACACAACAGGGCCCCATAGCTACAGGTCCAGCTGAAACCAGTGATGCAAGCCTAAAGATGTAGAAACTGCACCGGTGATTACAGCAACTATCTAGTTTGTACTCTTTTAGATTTGCAGCATAACAAAGGCATTTTACAGAGCAACTTTCAGGAGAAAATGTCATCCAGGCAAGAATTGCTCTGCAAGCAAGATAGGAGAGTTCAGTAGCATACACTGCACTTGTTCTCCAGATAGCAGCAGTTGCTCCTGTTCTTTGCCCTTTTTGATATGAATCACAGTAGCAACAGAGAGAAATATGTACTTAAACAAAAAAAAATAAAGAATTATGTATGTACAAGAAAATTGTTCAAAGAATTGTGCAACTTATTTTAACTGTTAAACCCACTAAAAATGCTGTCACTAATAAATATTCATAAACTCTTCCCTGTGCTGTGAAATTCAGAAACTACTATGATTAATTCTTGATACAAAAAGTATGCTTCTAAGCCCTGATATCTGTTCCAGTTTATTGTCTGTCTTTTTTTTTTTTTTCTGTCTTTTTTTTTTTTGAACTGTGGTACTTTATGGGAACTAATACTTATCCACAGTTTTACTTGGTGTACCCTGCCAGGAACATCCTGTGTTTTGTGGAGCCCTGGTTATACCAATATAATACAGTAAAATAATAATAAATTAAACAAATGCAGGTGTATTTAAAAAAAAAAAAGCAAACAAAAAAATCACCAAAAAACCAACCAACAAACCACACTATCAAATGCTTGTCTCCACATGAAGAGACCAAGGATTTAGATGCAAAGTACTACAAATCCTGCCATCAAAAAAACCATTCAAACCAGGAAACAAAAACTTCTGCATTTTAAAAATTAAACACAAATCCCACCTCGATATTATCTCACCCATGCCTACAAAAACCTCTTGCTGTGCTCACTTTTGCAGTTACTCATTTACACCTCAGGAGGCAGCCTGGAGATGACAGTAGTACAATAAAATAATTACCTGAAACATCTTTAAAAAAATACCCGTTAAACAAATTACCTTACCTGGCAGCACTTAAAATTGGTAATTTTTCTTTTTTTTTTCTTTCCTATTTAAAAAAAAGTTGCATAGCTGTAAGATTTCGCTTTGCTGCATTTTTTTGTTTTGTTTTGTTTTTACTCACAAGCAGTAGAAGAGGAGTTTTAGTTACTTAAATAGCAATACCATGTGCAGATTTCAACAATCCCTATAGCTTGCTCAATATAAATTAGTTACCTGTCTTGGTTTTACTCTTTGGACTGCATTGTGACAAAGGTTTAGTTACAAAATGTTGAAATACAGTATTCCTATGCAGAGAAGTTTATGTTTTCTGTTCTTGGAAAAAGTGTAGAACATAAAACAGGGTGTGAATTCAGTAAATTAAGGTCACACTGTTAAGATTATATTTAGTTTGCCATTTACTCTTCTTCAGCCAACAAGAAGGCGAAAACGTTCCCGCTCAAAACCAGGGCCATCCTCCTGCAAGGATCTCAGAAAGCACGGACCAATGTCTCCGCTTCCACTTGAGGCAGAGTAGGAGACACATCCAACAACCCGCTTCCTTCACAGAACCAGAAGTTAGGCTGAAATTAGGAACTTTGGCCTTCAATATAAAATAGTCAGTAATGTCTGTGGGGAGTAGATTGTTACAGAATGTGCAGCATTTTCAAAATCCCTGTGTGTCCTTTGCATGAGTGTTTGGTATACTGAGCACAACTGGCAAGTAACCGGGTGCATCTGCGATGCTTTTTTCATGTCACTGTCCATCTTTGTCTTTTTCAGCCACAAAGAACTGCAAGTCCCAAGCCAGGCACACTGTGTTCAGCAAGGGAACCTCACATCTCCTAGATTTTCTCATCAGTGGAAGCAGCTGTTGAAAAAGCAGAAGACAAAGTACCATCATTTCAGCTCTTTCAATATATAACATGCTCAAATAGCATGAGCACAACCACCATGTTATCCTTCCCCTTTTCTATAACCCCCCAGTTATTATCTGCTCTGCTGTGAAAAAAAAGCAAATTGGATTTAACACAAGGTTATACACCCATGAGCATGTACAGAGACAAATGTGTTCATAAACAGCACACAGGTTTCTTCCACAATTCAGTTATTGGGGGAAACACAGGAAACGGGTTTGTTTATTAATTTCAGCTAACACTGCCCTGAGGTTAAAACAATTATCCCTGTAGCAAGATACTTTCCCTCAGGTTTTCTCTGCTACCTCTGCAACAATCAGAGCACTGCAATGTGACCTGCAACACAGACTCATGAAGTGAGATGAAACAAATAAACAAATAAATCCCAGTGATGAAGGATTCTGATTTTATTTATTTTTATTATTTCCATCAGAGCAACAAAACAAAGCCCTCAACTACCTGTCAGGAGTTTCAGATAACTCAATTTCTCTAAGAATTATGATGGGGGTCTCAGCAACCTGGTCTAGTGGGAGGTGTCCCTGCCCAGAACAGGAGGGGTGTGGAACTAGATGACCCTTAAGGTCCCTTCCAACTCAAAACATTGTATGATTTGATGATTATTGGTGTGTTTTGCAATGCTTAGGGGCAGTACTTTAACACAAGATAAAGTTCTTGAACTAGTCAACTAAGAGAATAAACCTATCCTTTAAACCTTTGACATTGATTGCTGATCTGAAATCATTAACACAAAACACAAGCTGGAAAAATGTGAACCTCTGTGAGATGGGATGGACAGAAACATATTACCTTTTTTAATTTATTTACACTTTTAAAACATTCTGGGAGGGATTAACATCAAAGTGGTTTTGAAAATACCTAGTTTCAACTTTTTGATATGATTCTAAAAGCTTTCTGTGAGAAATGAATGCCAGTACTCATGGAACAATCCAAAATTATGCAATGTATTATTTTAATTTTGTTTCATTTCCATGGAAAAAATACTCTTCAAAATGCTAAAGCTTTTTGGCACTGGCCTGCCACTTTCCAGTACTGAAACTGGAATACGTAACTTCAGAACATCCCATAGAAGGATGTAGAAACCTTTCACAAATTGCAATATATATCAAAACTTACTGATTAATATTGCAGTTCTGAGATATGGTAGCAAATTCTCAAATTTAAAAAAAAAAAATAGCATAAAGAGTTATTTCAGATAATCAAGATATTTATTGTTGAAACATACGCATCTAAAAATAAATATTACCTAAAACCATGAATCTTGTCTTAATCTGATGGATGTTCAGGGCAAGATCTATTTACTTCAAACCATTCATCTATGCAGCTGTTGGATGCAAGACAAAAGTGAAAACAATTGACATTAATATATATATGAATATAATTTTTTTACTCAATTTCAATTAATAGTAGGGTTTTAGATTATACAAAGAACTATATGTATATACACACATTTCAACACTCATTGAATATTTAATAACCCCAAATCACAGTAATATGTTTATATTAAACACTGTTGAACAGCTAAATATCTTAAGCATTACAATTTTCTAAGGAAGCATTTTACAAAAAACTATCCAGCTTTTATACACAGGTTACTTCACTACCAACATTATCATCTCACTTGTATCATTCACTGACACTTCCTGCACTTAGAGACACTTTTAAAAATTTAGACAAAAAAGGTTTAAAAAGTGTTTCCCTTTTCCCCTCCCCAGCCTATTAGCATTTGACACAACTTTTACCATGTAGGTAAAGGCAGCCTAAGATCCCTAGGCTATGATGTCCACTCCTTCCCAAGACAGGTAATGTCACCTTTTTTTTTCCTGTGGGCTTTTCATGCAAGCATGAGAAGACAGTAACAGAGAAAACTGACTTCAAATACATCAGTGGAGAGGCAGAAAGATGTAATTTTAAAAGTACCTTTAGGGTTGCTGCTATTGCTGTTTCTTTGTTGCTCTACTCTTAAATGGAAAGTGACTAAGTTTTAGTGGTCCTTTAAACACACCTTAGAGGAGCTACCCAATAAATGCAAACTTCTGGAATGGTATACTCATCCTGAGGAATACTTGCCCTTTATGATATATGCAGAGGCAAGGCAGCCGTGCTATAGTATCTCCTTGCTGCAGCTCTTCCAGGCATATTGCACACTCCCCAGCATCTTTACTCAGCACATCCTCTGAAGAAAGAGCACAAAAACAGTAAAAAAAATATATAATCAAAACAGCTTTTATTCAGAACATCAAGGATGGCTACAGAAAACAATTCTTGTCCTGCAGAAAACCCTATTGAGGTGAGGATCAGTGACACACCAGCTGACTGAAGATTCCTGATGGGAGATATCTTAACAGCTCAAATTAAAATATGGTTATGATTAAATTTCTTTCCTAAACACAGCTGTCACCCAACATTAATCCTGTAGAAAGACACCCATATGGAAAAGAGGGGCAGTCATAATCAAGAGCCAGTACCCTTGGGAGTTTATACTCTCTCAGCAGATCCATACCCCACCACACAGGCTGCTCTGATCTGACCTGGGAAACCTGTGCTCTGAACCACACAGTAGCTGCAGCCACCACATACAGTGCTGCTGACCCCAAGAGCTAAGCACTGGAGAAATTTGGTTCTATACACACATGGTACATAATGCCTCCTGGGCTTTGAGGATTCACGTTGGGTGGGTTTTTCCTAACTCTTACCTTTTTTTTTTTTTCTTCAGACAGGACAATGCAGGTAATTAACTAGGTAAAATAACTTCTTAACTTCTAAACACTTAGCCTATCATTTGCTTTTTCTACTCTCCCACTCATCTCTCTTCCATACATCTGGCTTTCTTTTACTAGCCTTTCTGGTACTCATCTTTAACACCTTCAAGCTCCTCTTCTCACCATGTCAACATGTTCTATCACATCCCATCCGCATTTTCCTAAATGTAAAGTATGCAACCATTAGCAACAGGAGTGAGAGCTTTCCATCAGGCAAAGATGACTGCTGTATAGCTCCAATGACTAAATTCTTCAGTTCAGTTTTCAGGTACAACTGAGAAATCACCAGTTCTACGTTATTCTCTCCAGTGGCTCCAATACTTATCACTATAGCACTCCCAACTCACAAAGTAAAAAGCAGACAACAAAAAAAACTACATTGCAGCAAAAACTGAATGAAATTAGGTCTACCTTGTTTCCCTTAAGATAACAGCAAGCTGTCTTGCAGGTGTTTGGGTTTCTAAAGGAGTGTTAATTTCAGTTTCTGCTACATTCATTGGTTATGCTAAAAATACTGTATCTTCATGAGGAAGATGTGTGCAGTATATATAATTAGGTGAAGTGTTATGAAGAAAAATACTCAAAACAAATTAATAAACAATACACACCTACCACAACAAACAAAATAAAATAGGGACTTTACACATGGCAATATTATTGGTAGGCACTGCATTAAGGAATTGCTTCTGTTGTTTTATCAGAAGCTGTAAGCTTCCAATAACATCAGAGGTACTCGAGAGAAAGCAATTTAAAACAATAAAAACGATCTTCAGAGCTCCTACCTGTTGTCACAAAACCCTGACACTAAGAACTTGCCCAGAAGAGGGTGCTAAGGAGAAATACTTCCGTGTGTTTGATTTTCTTAATGAAAAGATACTTCAGGATTTGACACCAGGAAGCAGACTCTCCAGACAGCACTGTCCTGCTTCAGAGTTACTAATCTTTGCCTGAGGCTCAGACTCTACCTCCTAGACAATCTCTTTACACAAGTACTTTGCCAAAACTCCTGTGAGCAGATCTCACTCTCTTCCCACAGTTAGGTTGCAGGAAGAAGTGTAATTGTAATTTGAGCATGTATCCTATACACAGAGCATACTTAATGGAAGTAATTTTTCCCACAGAGCCACTTTATCAGATCAAAATCTGGTACCCAAACCAAAATGATGCTTAGATACCTCCAATGAATTAATTGCCAGCCTCTCACCCTCAGCACTCTCAAGAGGGAAGCGTTTAGTCCAGTTTCGATGACAAAAATTAAAAAACTGTCCAATAAAAATATAATTTACAAAAGAAAACATGCCTGTGAAGTGCTTTCACATCATTCTCTATTGTGCATGTCTGGGTTATCGTGCACTCCCCAGACTGTACAACTCTTGGGTCTGAACTCCTGCTGAGCAATTTAACAAGTTTCTGCACCTTTTGGCTCACATTAGGGCAAGACGCCAATCTAAACATTTGTATCTCTCACCAGCCCTGGCGTAAGTGTCTGAGACTCCTTTTCTTCCCCCAGTGCTCCAGCACTATCCTCAGCTACCATTAGGTTCCCTTTTGCCAGTACTGGCCCTACTACACAAGCCCTGAGCAAACAGCTTGCTGCCCTCTCTGGCATGCTCTGGCTTTGCCTAATTGTGCCAGAGGGAGCTGGTGTGAAGGCTGAGGATGGCTGGCATGGATGGGGCCTCAGAAACACAGTGGAGCTCTGCCAGCCCTGCAGAGGAGATTTTGTTAACAGGTTTCAGTGCTCTTCTTCCACTAAAATAATGAGAAGATGGCATTCCCCACTCCTTGTGTTAACCTTGTGAATCCTACCCAGCCTTCATGCAAGGCTAAATACTGAAGGAATTGGTACAAAATACTCAGCTGCTAGAAATGCCCACGTGCAACTTTTGCCCACGTTTGCACTGATGCAAACCCATGTAATTATATTCATAATTGATTACACTTGTAGAGTGACAACAGCAAAATCAAATCCTTCACAGACCTATGACACTTTGGGTCTGACTCCCTTCTGATTATTTTAGGTGATTCAGATAATCAATCCCAAGAAAAAGGAGTGAAAAAAACCTGTTAGATCTGGATCCAGTAAGAATTTGTTCTGTAATTGTTTCATACAGCACTCTCCTGTACCAACACTGGCTTATACCAGATTGAAGTCAGTTTAAGGGCCATTTAACACTGATATTTAAATATATGTTAAAGAACAATGTGTAAATAATCTTGCTTAGAATCACTGCAGTCTGAATTTATTTATTTATTTTGTTTCTATATTTTCCTGCAGTGGAATGATTCAGCAAATACAAATCATTCTTTTTATCTTTTTTTTTTTTTCCCCCATACAAAAAAAGAACAGTTTGAGATCTCATCAATGTTATGATTAAAACATTTATGAGTGTGTTACCTAAATGGAAGTGGGAAGAGGAAATAAGCAGAGGCCACATTTTTCCATTTCACCCACACGTGAGTACATACACAAACACTCAACACACCCCCACATCCATCTGCCTTGCACCAAATAGGAGGTAAACACTCCTCCACCTTCCCAGCTATCTGAACAAGTACTCACTAGTCAAAGACCGATGTCAGAGATGAAATATTGTAGTGTTCTATTTCCCTCCTGTGTCTGCTGATGTGCTTCTTTCTCCTATTCTCTACCCCTGGTTAATCTACTGTTTTAACTTCCAGTTGTTGGCAATTTTTCCTCTTAAAATTCTGCTTTCATCTTTACTGAAAAATAATTTCTACTCTACTCCTGTATTTCTAGCAAAATAGGTAGTACTGAACTAAAATACAATTATCCAGGCAATTGCACCTAGTTTACCAATTAATTATTTATTTTTTGAGAACTTTCTAAAAATGTATCCAACAACTATCAAAGCCATCAGCTTAGTCATGGCTAAAATTATATGCAATGCCTGAAACAGTCTGAAATGAAATAGTCTGTCTTTAAACCGAGGACTGCAAAAGCACATGCAGTACATACCTTATGGATTAAGTCACTAAGATCTATGCTATTGCTTTTTGGTTTTCTTTTTAAAAGACAGATACAGCCCTAGGCTCAGGAAACCCCAAGTCAAAAACCATAGAGACTGTGAAAGCATTTGGGGAGATACAACCTTATAGCTGCAGTCATTTTATTTCTCTCTAGGCATTCACTGGAAACAGAACACCAAGTTAGAAAGACCTTTGAACTAAGCCAGTATGACAATTTTTTTAAATACCTGTATTTTTTTCTCAAATGTAAAAGCTACATGTGGAAGCTGCCACAGCAGCTAGCTTAACAGTGAGGAATGACAGAGAAGTGCACCCTTTCAGGAATATGACCGAAACTTACTGGAACATTCCTTCTGAACAGTATCTTATCAGCACTAAAACTGATAAAACAAGAGCCGTAAGAGATTAAAAAATACCAATGAAACTTCACTAAATAGTACCTGTTATCATACATCTGTTATTAATTCATTTTTGTTGCTAATTACTAAAAACTCTCTCAGTTAAGTACTAGAGACTTGCTTTGCTTGGTTTTAATCAGAGTACATGAAGCTATAGACAGCAAGAAACCAACATACTTCCTCACACATGTAGCATGAATTTGTCCACATTGCAGAATTCATTCAACACTTTTACTGATCTTGCCATCTGGGACAATTAAAAGTTTTCCTTTACACTGTTACAAAAACCAGTAGACTAGAAGGACCTGCAATTCCCACAGTAACTATTAGGTAGCCAGCAACTATGTGTGTTTATGACTAGTATACTCTTATCAAATGTTATTGACTTGATTTACTAAATCCTTCCAGCTTCTTCCATGACTGTTTTTCTCCCTCCCCATTCCTTTTCAGCTATTTCCTACTATGTTTTCCTTCTCTTCACACCCATTTTCCCTGAAATATCATTCTCTCTAGACCTTCTTTTTCTTCCACTCCACCTACTCCCATAATCTCGTTTACCGTTACAATGCAGACACTGGAGAAAGGAGGAAGAGATTAACATTATTAGCCACCACCTGATATAAATAATATGGACGGCCTTCTTATTTGGAGTTAATATCCTTGGGAGAAGTAGACAATGGAATGGAATGAAAAGGGACTGTTATGCTGTGTGCGCTTCTCTAATTTAGCTCAGTCACCATCTTTGCAAGCTGCTACTGGCTGCAAGCAAAAGCTCTCTTTCTTAGTCCACGCTAAGGACTAGGAGAGCAAGCACTTTGTTTAGCATTCTACCTGTTCTTCAGCATTCTGGCTGCCACAAGAGGAACATCCTTGTTTCATCATGCTCCAGCTGGGGATCACTCCTGGATGAGCAGGTCAGCCCTCCGCTGCTGCTCAAGACTTGAGGCAGAAAGACATTATGAAGGAGAGCTGATTGTCTAGTGCTCAGGCCCTCAACAGCAGGAGAAAGATCATTCAATTGTCCC